TTACATTGTGGTGCATTCAATTATTGGGTTGGGCAGGAGCTTCAAAACAGTTTGATGCTCTTAAGTTTTCTATTACTCTGTGACTTTGCTCACAGTGAGAAGCAAGTCCTGTTACTTTAACTTTTAGCCACATGACGAAGCTAATAAAGATTCTGGACACAGGATGCCAATTTGCATCATCCTATTACTATTATCTTCCCATTGTTGAAGATGATGTAGCTGTTAAGTCTCAGTTTGCTTTCTGGATATTTCAAAAGGTGTCAGGACTAGACCCATCTCAAAGTTTCCAGTGTAGCTGTGAACAGTTCACTGTTTTTACAGCTTAAACATTGCAGCTTTATTCAGCATTCTTGGGAGCAAACACAAAGAAAAGGAAAGGAACTTTCCTACTGCTGAAAAAAGCCAGGTTCACATCATACCAAAAAAAACCCGCTCGTGCCCGGTTCACCTGGAATACCACTACGCCTGGCACTGCTGCTCTTCTTCTTGGAGAAAAAATTGGCATCTTATTCTACATATATAGAATTACTAACCATTTCAAGCACAAGTGGAGAATTATTCATGTGAAGGTGATGAGAAAGATCTTAAAAAAGAAAAAAAGAAAGATTATAAGTAGATGGCTATGTGGACTCTGCAGATAAAGCAAACTACTTTTCACTATTTAATAGATTAGTGAATTAAATAAATGTATTTAGAAGAAAAGAAACCAAATTGAACATTTCATATTTTTAGATATAGTAACATCTTATGGGACATGGCCACATGTGAAAGCAGTAATGTATGGCAGCTATCACAACAAGCACATAGCTAAAACCAACATAAATGGGAAGAGGGATTACAAAGATTGACAGAGAGATAAAATGATGTGCCAGAAGCAGATATCAGGGTCTGTGGACACCTGTTCCCTCTGCCATATACCATTCTACTTTCCATGCACGTTACATCTTAGCAGTTGCTGTAACATTTAATATACTGAGCACACTGTAATATGAAATGTCTGTGGGACATACAGTTCAAGTGACAACAAAGACTTTAAGCCCTGTAGGGTAAAAACTATTCTGGGTGGTCATTGTAATGCATCAGTATCAAAAAAGCCAGAATCAAAATAAGTGGCAAATCGACTGCTCTCAGGAGCAGACCTATACAGTTATAATAGTTTTAGATTAAATTTTCTATAACAATTGCCTGTCATTAAACTGCAATGATTTAGAGGTATTGGGAAAGAATACTGGATCACAGGGAGCCAAATTTTTATTAAAGGGCAAAAAAAGGGGCTTATTCATTTACCTTTTCTATTGTTGGTGTTTTGTGGGTGAATGTGGCAAAAGACAAATCATTCACAATAGCAGATGACAACACCTCACAAAGGAGGGAGCTTTTTACCTCCCACCTACATTTGAACAAAGCTCCAGAAATAGCATGTCAAGGGATAATTTTTCCTCCCTCATGCTGGGTACCCTGTGTGCACCTCAAACCTGAATGGGACTGGGGCACAGAGGGTGGTTTCTGATCCTCTAATGGGGAAGAGAAGACACTGAAGAAGTAATAAGAAGCCAACCCAGAATGGGGATGTGCTTGTGCATTTACACACACTTGTTTAAAACAAAATTTACTGATCCCCTCACCTATTTGCCTTCTGTTTTGACTATGTTCTCTGCTCTTATTATGAGCTTTTTGAGCAATGGGCTGTTTTCTAGATTCCAGTGATGCAATACATGAAAAGTTCCCGTAATTTTTGTTGTTGCATCCATGAGACACTAGTGCCAGGTTCTCCCTACTAGTTTTTCTCCTTTCACCCAGCATCTTTTCTTCTGAATGGCTGAATGAGAAATGCCATGACCAGTTTATAAGAAAAAAGGGCTATGCATCTGCAATACTGTGGTTTTGGGGAGTAACCTAGTTATAGTCCTCACTGTGCTGGGTGCAATGTTGATAGATTCCCTATCTGGCAGAACCATATAGTCAAGAAACTTGGAGGAGAAAGAGGAGAAAATATCCTTCTTAGTAGAAAATGTCCTTCTTATCCAAGTGAGGTGTGAGGCACAGTTTCTTTCCCACCGAGATCAAAATGAATATCTGTGGCATATAAAAGAAACAAATATCACAATAACAAGTCTAAGAGTCTTCCTTGACTTGAAGTCTTCCTTGAAGGGCGGTAGCTAAGATACACAAAATGGATTTTTTTAGGGAATTTGACTTCATTCCTTTCCAGCAGTAAGGCTGCAAGATTTTTGAGTGATATCTTAAGTTCAGCTGATTTACATTTAGTAATATTGTTTTGCAAGGCAGTAATTAAAAACTAAGGATTGAAAAGCATGTTTTTGCAAGGAATTTGGCACAATGCTTTTGAAGTTCATGAATCCATTAAGTCTTGGAGACTCCATTAGGCAACAGTAGTGTTTTACATTATTCTGAACTTGCAAGTAAGTTTTCAAGGATAATGGATTTCATATATATAGAAAAAAAAAATGAAGTTCCTTTATCTATGCCTGCTCACTTTTTTCCCCCTATCATACTGCATTTAGCAAAATAGATAAGGCAGAAAGGATGGTGGTGTATTTTTATGTTAATGAATATTTTTAAATTTCAAATAGCATTTTTGAAGCTCAGCCTCCAAAAAAGTAGTGCTAAGGCAAAACTAATGAATTTCAATTCTTATCAGTCGACTTCTGCTTTCATGAATTCTTTTTGTTATATTCTGATGCATGAAGATACATCAGTAGGCGCACACAGCATGCAGCCCACAGATCTGATTTTTACAGAAAACCAGTTTAACTTTTTTAGATACATAATAAAGCTCACCTAATAATCATGTTTTATTTAATGACTAATTGGGTAATAGCTAGAAAAATATGTACTTCAGGAAGGTGGAACAACTTTTAAAAATAGCACATTGTAAGTGACAAGTAAGCTTTCTGCACAGAGGATGTATTTGACTCTTTTGTAGCTAAATTCTGCTATTCTGAAACTGGTTTCAAAGGTGTGCCACTCCTGCCCCAGAAGGGCTGCAGCTAGTAGTGTACCCTTGCTACAGTTACAATGATGATTTGTCCCTCAGGTAATTACACTCTGGAACTTAACCACATTAACCCTGCTCTTCTACATCTTGGAGTGCCTCAGGAAACTCTCAGTTCCTTGGGACCCCAGTTAGTTTTGGTCATGATGCTGTAGAAGAGAAATCTTTGTGGGCTCTGCAGTATTGTCACAGCCACCAGGGCTAGTGTGGTGATTATATTCTAATGCTGATAGTGAGGTGTACATGAAAGAGCTTTTTTTAAATACTATGGTCCATGTATCACACTGCTCCAATCCCAGGCAATTTTAATAACTGTTCTTAGCTCGTAGTCACAGCTTCATCAGCACAATACTGGCCTGTTGTAGTTTACTTGTGATGCTGATAAGAATAGTGCAAAATAAACCAGTCCTGTCCTTTGTGTAACACTTGCCATAACAGTAATATAAAATCAATGATGTTGTTGAAATGTTACTCATCAGAACAGATAATGAAATGATGCTTCTTTATCCTTCCAGAACTGTAACACACCTGCGTTCTCGTATAAAGCAGCAGCACTGGCCATAATTTACTGCATTGCAGTAAAATCAACAATGCAGCATTCTGCAGAGTCAGACAAATACTCATATTTGATTTTGTAGGTGAATAGAGAGAGAAAAAAATGCTCCAACCCCCCTATTTTTAATCATGTTACTACAATTTTTATTTGTAACCCTCTAAAATGTTCACTGTGTAGCTAAACACTGGTACCTCTTGAAAAAAAAAAGTTGTTCTGAAATGTTTTCTGTTACGAGTAGTCAAGTTAATTACACTGATTTTTCTAAAACTTCTTTATGTTGAGGGGGAAGAAAGAAAGAACAATTTTAGAAATTAATGGTAACTCATAGGTAGGTTTCTGTTAAGTGGAAACCAGATTTCAAAGTAAAAATGGTAAGTGTGAAAAAAAGCATCCAATTCCATCTAAGAGAAACTTTCTATACTTGGAGAGGAAATAAAAATATCTTCCATAGTTGAGTATAAACACAAAGCTAGGATGTTGCTTTCCAGCTATATAGGGCAGAAGTGATATTTTTTAAATTATTATTATTAGGAAAAAATTACATAGATTAAGCTGTCACAACTTAGGAAATGTAGAAGTTTTCAACAGACTTAATTTTTGTCTTCTTCTCTGAAAACTTGACATGTTACATCTTTACAATTTGCCACTTTAATCTTTGCTTATAGTAAAACAGTTTTTTCCCTAGGTCTTTTTTAACTGACACTGTGATAGATTGTTATTTTGTTGAGAGCTTTAATGTTGAATAAATGTCATTTATTTCTAATTGAATGATGATACAAAGAATTATTGTATTATTGAAATAATAATTAAAAAGTTTGTTGCTCCCATTTGAAACATGAAGGTAAGAAAGACGAGTTATCATCTCAGTTTAATGAGAGGGATCATGACAAGGTGCTGGGCCAGCTCATCTAAACTGTGTTTCTACCTAGAAAGGCTGGAACAGATGATCCTTGAGGTGTCTTCCAACCAGGCATTCCATAACTCTGTGATAACTGTTAAATACATAAGGAAGATGAATGAAAGGTGAACTCATGCTGCTTTTGACTTAATCATGCATTCAGTAGAAAAAGTGTCAGGTTTTGTGGAGTGTGTGCTCATCCATATTCACTGAATCAAATTTAGGTTTCATAATTTCCTTAATAACAAAAAAATTGCATTATCTGTAAGAAGACGACAAGTTCATTAAAATCCCAGAACTTTGTAGCCAGTGAGAGATTTCTTTCTAGAATAAAAGACCTTTTACAAAGTATATTTGCACTATACATTTTCAAGCAAAAATTTCACAGGTTTGAAATACAAGCTAAGAGAGGATTGAAAAATGTGAATGGAAGCCTTAGCCAAAGATATTTCATTTTAGGATAGACTACATGAAATAACTTTTATGAGTTAACTGCTGCACTATATAGTAACTCTATATTATCGTTCTAGGTACCTGGGAATAACGAGACCTCTTACGTATCCTGTAAGGCAGAATGGGAAGTGTATGGCCAAAATGATCTTGTGTGTTTGGCTCTTATCTGCCTCTATCACGATACCCCCACTCTTTGGCTGGGCTCAAAATGTAAACGATGAAAAGGTTTGTTTGATCAGTCAAGACTTTGGCTACACCATTTACTCCACGGCAGTTGCATTTTATATCCCAATGTCAGTGATGCTTTTCATGTACTATCAGATTTACAAAGCTGCCAAGAGGAGTGCTGCCAAACACAAGTTTGCAGGTTTTCCCCGGCCAGAAGAAATGGAAGGGATTTCTATGAATGGAGTTGTAAAACTGCACAAGGAATCTGAAGAATGTACTAATTTTTCACGACTCCTAAAGCATGACAAGAAAAACATTTCCATATTTAAAAGAGAACAGAAAGCTGCCACCACTCTTGGGATTATTGTGGGGGCTTTCACTGGCTGCTGGCTGCCCTTCTTCCTCCTCTCGACCGCCAGGCCCTTCATCTGTGGTACAGCCTGCAGCTGTATCCCACTCTGGGTTGAGAGAACATTTCTATGGTTGGGTTATGCAAACTCTCTCATTAACCCTTTTATATATGCCTTCTTCAATCGGGACTTGAGGACAACTTACCGCAACCTACTGCAATGCAGATACAGGAATATCAACCGGAAACTATCAGCTGCAGGGATGCATGAGGCTCTGAAGCTTGCAGAAAAGCCAGAATTTGTTCTGTAAGGTCACTTATCTGTTGCTATGATAATTTATTGTTTATCATCTTAGCTTTTCCCTCTCAGGTCCAAAATAAGAGTTGTGTAAAGACACAGGATTATTGAGCACTGTTAACACAGTCATTAAGAAACTGGAAAGTAGCAAGGTTAATTCCTGTATAGCCCACCAGTCTTGGCGAGCCTAGAGAAAAAATAAGACTAGCTAAGATCCTGGGTGTAAGAGGAATACCAGAAAAGGGTAAAAGGTGGTGTGGCATCGTTGAATTGCCAGTAAGGGAAAAGCAAATTTGGCCTAACCCATTTGTTTGGCCCTTGGCCTCAAACAGCTTTTAGTAGGTCTGAATTTTGGATGCATCTTGTGTCCTAGAGATTTTTTGCTGTAATAAAGACCTGAGAATAGTAAGAAGTTCAGCATAATTCATTGCTTTCCACTTTGTTGCTGTAAAAATAAACCACTTAGGAAGAAGCTGGATCAGAGCACTTATGTTGCTAAGAAATTATTGTAAAAAACATATGTCCATTAAATGTTAATTTACTGGATTACCTGGAAAGAAACTACTTTTTGAAATTTAATGTTGCCTTTGCATAACATCTGTGGGACTGAAAGAATATGTTACGATTCCAATATGAATATAAGAGTTTGGGTAGAGTCACATGGACTGACATCTACTGCTGCATACAGTTGTGCAACACAATTAGCTGTAGTGCTGCTGTGTCAGTTACACCAAGTAAAGGTTTTATCCTATATTGCTAACATAACAAATATTTCTGTTTACTATTTATTTCAGGTCTGGTCTTTGTCCATCTTTTCTTTTTTAATTCTCCTGGCTTTATCAGTTAAGCCCTTCTCTAAGCTAGATGGAGACTGTCTATGCTCAGGTCTTAGTTTCTGTTGATGTACATCTAGCCCTTATTCTGCTTCAGTTGTTCGTTTATTGTCTATTTGGAAGCTTTTCTACCTTACTGAGATTTCTCTCCTTTCTGGAGTCGGTAAGAAAAAAAGAAACTGGGGACTCTATGACATTCAGAGACATCTGGACTTTATCCTTACAAACTGATTTTGGTCATCAGTTCTGCTTAAAATGATGTAAAGCCTTGTCTTGTGTAATAATCCAGGTCATTTACTGTTTCCAGTTCAAGTTGTTACCCTTTACCGCTGTAGCTCATCCAAGTATGCGATTCTACTTTTCCAGCTTTGGTAACAAAGCTCTTCCCTGAGTGGAGCAGAGTAAAATATTGTAACAATATTTTTCTGTATAATTTAATACATGCATTAAGCATATTAATATATTAGTAGCAATATATTAATATAAAATACACTACTTATGTAATATATTACTATAATAACATAAAATAACAATAAACCTATAACAATTCAGAAGAGCAAGAGGCTTTCTGTGGACCAACTTTGCACTGCACACCATGTTCCAGGTAGAGCCCAGGGAACATTGGAGAATTAAGACCGTTTCTGAGCTCAATCTGCTCTTCAGATGTTGAGTCATCCTTGAGGTGATAATGTGTTTATTATCAAATTGCCTCAGTAGCAAATCACACTTTAGGCTAACTTGTGTCTCCACTTTCTCAAGTATGAAGCAAAAAAACTTAAACGAAATCAGTGATGTTAATTTGGACAAAGTAGTTACAAGTTTGTGCCAGATCCCTTGTTCAAAGCATACACAGATCATTGCAAACTATTGAATATCTAACTGGCAGATATACAAGACCTCAATTGATGTGCTGACCTATGTGTACTGAAACAAGCTTAAGCCATTTTAGCTGCATTTATACACTGAGCTGACTTTGTTACCTATCAGAATGGTATTTGAGTTCCTAGAGGAAGCAAGTAGTTTTTACAGGCCTCCTGCAATTTTTTTTTCCCCTCTGTGAGGGTCTAAAGGAAAATACACAAATAAATATATCTGTGAAGATTCCAAGTGGAACTGCAAAACTCTGAAGCTGATTGCAGAATTCTGGGCAGAAATTTCAGCCATTTTTATTCTGCAGGAAAGTCTGAGAAATTGCATTTTCTACTAGTAAGAATTTAAGTATTTTTTAAATTAAATATAGAAGTGTCTTTTGAGTCAGAAATTGACATTTGCCCATTTGTCATAGAAGACAGCTGCTCAGGGAAATCATCCTCTGGGACTCCATCTCTGCTCTGCCATATGTTTCAGGTATCAAAAGCCGAGGAAAGAACAGGGATTGTTAAGTTTTTTGGCAGTCTTTGAAGTTTTTGGAGATAAACAGACACCTTTCATCTCTAAGTATATTTCGAAATAAAAGGAAAATGCAAGAAAAAAGATCAACAAACAAGGTTTTTTGTACAGCCAAAATGAAACACACCTCTGTGGTAAATGGAAGCCGTTGTTGGATGGAGCTGTATTGGAGGGGAAAAGTAAAGAAGTTGAGAAGATTAGAAGAATGTGCCATTACCCAAGCAGATGGGTAACACAGCATTAGAGAAGAGGAGAAAGCTTTCAGACTGAAAGAGGCTTGGATGAGAAGCATAAGGAAATAACTGCTTGGGTTCAAGAACGGGACTTTTACCTTTTTAGGAAGATAGGTAAATAGAACTGCATCAAAATACCTAGCTTCAGCAGTAGCACTTTTTACAATTAAATAATTCACTGCTTGTCTGACCAAGGGGCAGCCCATCTATGGGTGAATGAGAAGTCTATGTCATCACATGCGCAGCCTGGAACATGCTAGTGCCAAACCCTAGGAGAGATCACACTCTTAGTTTGTGCATCCTGTCACGTGTTTCTAGAAGAAAATGAGGGAGGTGAATCAGATAAATGTAGTTGTGAGAAAAATGGTAATAAAAGTTTGCAGAAGCCAGAGCATAAAGAGGCCAACATAACACTAACTGAATGAAGACAGAAAAGGAGAAAGGAGAGACATGTGAAGCAAGGCATGGAAGCAGTTCTAAGTTTCCGACTTGTGTTTGGATAGCTACTTTTGAGAAACAGGCGAAAACTAAGAGGCAGCAAGGGTATGTATCCAAGATTTGAGGGCAAAACCACAAACCTTTCTAAAATATTATTGTACAATCCCAGTGAAAAGACTTGCTACCTCATTCCTCAAAGGAGACCTGGTGTCACCGTTTGACTCAGGTCCGACAACAATGCTCTCGATCCCCCCTCCCCCCAACCCAGGTAGGGAAGGAGAGAGAGAAAAAGAGAGAGACTTGGCTGGATTGAAAACTAAACTACACAGCTTTAATTAAAACACTAATGAATCATACAAGAAAATATATACAATTATATACAGACAGATTCAGGTGTAGGCAAAAGCCTCTCACCACCCCCCACCCCAGCAACTCCCACAGCACTTCCCTGATCTGGGAAGAGTCCCGAGGAATCCCGGAGCTGCTGCTGGAGAAAGCAGAGAGTGATGAGGGTCACAAGAGCTCGAGCCTAAGGGTCGACGGTGATGGATGAACAGAGTCCTCCCCGGACGCCGGCCATGGACGGAAGAGAAGGGGAGAAGAAGAAGGAAGGAAGTTGTCTCCTGTGATCTCTGACCTTCCTTTCAGCTTACGTAGATATATGGAATGGAATATCTTTGGCCAATTTTGCTGTCTGTCTAACTCAGCCTCCTACGGGGGGGTCACAGATCTCCCCATAGTGTCTGAGCCGGCAGAGTGCAGGTGCAGCCTTGAAGCCTCAGTAGTTAGAAAAACATTCCACTGTCTTATCAGCCTAGCAGAACACACTGTTGCTAGTTACAAGAAAGCTCACTGAAGGAAAAAAAATCAGTAAAAAGAAAAACTGGCTTAATCCTGGCTCAAACCAGGACACCTGGGCTCTGCAGGTCAGCAAAGTTCTGGATTTAGCAAAATTCAATTTAAATAAAATAAATAACAGGATGAAGTGGGTATTGAATTCAGGTCAAATCTGTTGAGATGTAAAAGCAATGAAATCTTAAGTCAATGTTTCTCTTCAGGAAATGGTGCGTGTTGTCTAAATGCACAAGCTGTAGTCACAGAGATATGTGGACAGTGACAGAGGTATGTGTGACAGGTTAGTGACAGCTAATTTGCCACCCCAATCCTGGGAGGTTTGGAAGGTTTCAAGTATCTCATCCTGAAATCACAGTCTGAGATGTGAAAAGTCCCATGTTAACTACAGAGTGAAAGACTTGAAATACTAGACAATCTCATGTTTTCTACGAAGGTAGGTGTCACTTCGTATAACATCTGAGTGTTTGACAGGAAAGGTTGGAGTGAGTCCTTAGATACACAGGACAGCACAATCTCTAAAAAGCTATCCTAGACAGCAGGTTTGCCCATTAACTACAGTACAGAACTGACCTTACTCCAGCTGGGTTTTTTGTCTGTGGAAACTCAATAAAGCATTTATTAGCTGCAGTACCCACCTGCAATATCTCCAATTAGAAAGCTTAGTCATGTTCCTGTACATCCTAGGCCACTTTTCCACCAGTCACTAGTTCTGAAATTGTTTCCACCCACTGTGTGGTTTCTGAATGGGGATAGTGGCAGGAAAACAGGACCAAATTTTTCTTCAGTTTACTAGGCTGACAAGTTTTTTAAACAGTTAGGTGTAGTTAAAAAACACATTGTACTTGTGTTTGCTTTCCAGAATCTCACAAGGCTGTTCAGCCCTTTTACTTCCTCATTATCTCTAGAGTGAGAATTTATCCTTATTCAGTAGTCACCACAGTGCATGTTTAGGTTAGGACTTTTTTTGGGCTTTTTGCTTTTCTCTTTGGTGTTTCTGGGGAAATGCAGCAGGCTACACTTGCTGAGGGGATGGTTGCTCAACTGTAGCATGCCCAAGCACTGGAGAACAAAAGGTGATACCGGGAAGCGCTCAGCAAATGATATCAAAATAATAACCATAATCTATGCTGGGAGATGAGGAAATCAGGAAGCATCTGTGCAGCTTCTAACAGCATTTAGACCACCTCCTCATCCAGCTCATGCAGCCAGTCACAGCTTTCAGCTGCAGCCTTAGTTCTTAATTACTGCCAGATATATCTAGACATTAACAAAGGGAGATGCCAGTCAGACCTTCTTCACTTTATATGTCTCTTCATCTCTAAAATGTGTGTAAAGATCCTCAAGAGCAGCCATTGAGTGAGTCAGTCCCCTAA